ACTCCATGTGCATCTATGGCTCCCAGGAACTTCCAGTAGTAGGGGTAGTTGTAACTTGAAATCGGATGGTCACCGTAAACGAAAGCTTGGACCGCGACACTGCTCCGACAATGAGGACGTCANGGTCAAAATCAGGAGGCTTGCGGCCAAATTATTAGATTTCATTAGTCGAATAGCACGACTCGCATCCCTTTCCAAAATGGGTTACTAAAACCAACTCCTTGAAGTTTCGGGGAACACACCTGGACCTCTGCGAAACGGGTAAACTTAGTGTACTTGTCCATCATTGGTAGCTTATCTACCACCTCTGCCCATTTGGACTGCAACGGTGAAGAGAAAACACAGCTTGCCTCATACAAGAAGCGTGTTCAACGAGAGATAACGGTGCCTCAATAACGTGATCTGAAAGCTTCACACATTAATGCGCAAGTCCAATAGAGACTAAGATAATTCAGTCGTTTATTTTTTGAATGTACCGGTCTCCTATGTAAGGGCAAAGCGACAATAGTTGGCTAGTCAACGAATCTTTTGAGATAGGTTTTATGCTGGTTCTAATAAGGATACATCAAGTGCTCGAAACCTGCGTTTGAATCATCATGACAACGACGAGTTAGGTATTGAAATCTTTGACAGTTTCTCCTACCTTGCCTGCGATTTGCGTCTCAGACAGATATAGAAAAAACTTCCCGTAAGCTCTTGACCTATCATCAAAATATGGCAGACCTCGTTGTTCATTTTCACAGCGCGTACTACAGGATTAATGGACACGATGGAATTTTGCCAACCGCAATATCCACTAGTTGCAATTATTGTGCTCCAGGTGTTTTGTATCTACCAGGAAAGATTGTAATCGTTGAATTAACTGATCCGTTAAGGCCACTGTTTTCACGCGTATGCCTAGTGAAGAACCTTCGGCCACAGGCTCAATTCTAGTTTAATTAGTTCGGCTCTGTGTGCCAAAGAGACCCAACTGGAGCTCGTTCCCTCATTTTCGGCAGATAGTCGTAGAGCTGTGCGATCCTCAGAAGCTCGAGACTAAGGTACCCCGTGACAGGATGCAGAAAGTAACGCAAAATAACCGAGGTGTAGTTGGTTGAATAGTTAACACCCCATGGACTGGCGGCATGCAATTAACGGGTTTCCGTTTGAGCGGTGAAACTCCGGGAGGTTACACGTACTAATTCAACCTGAGCGAAATTAGGTGCCCAGTAGCGCAGAAAAACAGGTAGCTTCTTTGGTTGTAGATACCTCTCGGCGTTGGGCGATATAGGTTGCCAAAAATGCAGACGAAACAAGTTCGCGTATGTGGAGCGGGCCATGCCTGCCTGGTAGTCCCAAGGTCGGAGACGGCATCTAATTCGGCCAGCCACACTCAGATAGAGTCGACGTTAGATACATTTAGGATGACATGTAGTATAACCTACACCCTACCATCCTAGCCGTATCGGGCAGGAGGTTGGACAAAATAAATTTAATTAGAGAGTAAGGGGGCCCATTAGCCCCACAACGCCCTCAGCTGCAAAACCCTTACGTGTGAGGGAAAACATTTTGCTCCAGGATGTTGCATTTCGTTGTATGCGTGCTCAAACAACAACTATCTAAATCGATGTTTGTATTTTTGCAGCTCACCAAATTTCATTGTCGACTGGTGGAATACCTTCCTAACATCGCTGAGACCCCTAGATGCCTAGGTGGGGCCCAAAATTTGAAACTGGTACTCTGTGCTCGGCAGCCTGTCCCTTTTAGTCCATCAAGGACATGTCGTAGCTTTCAAGGATGCAATTCCATTGTGCGAATACAGAACGCCAGAGACAACCAACCGTCCGACAGCTTGGATACAACCTTGAATAATTGTGCGATAAAGCAGAGAAAAAACTCCGTGGAGATGGGTTGTATTGACGGAAACTAGGTTTTGCATAACGCCCTAGTCTACCCAATAAACACCTACAGTCGTGACTAGGAGATAGGCCTGAGTTCGAATAGGCATAAGGATATATGTGGAACGATTTGAGGAGAGTGCAGCGAAAAACTACGGTCACGGCAATAGCCCCATTTGGCCGCATCACTTCTAAATACTCAGCGTTGTATGGGCAACCAGGTGAATCACCCCCAATACTAGCTTATTCTCAGAAAAATGAAAAGTGCTCGCACAGATATTTGGAATTTCAAGTAACAGGCAGATTGTTGGATTGCCACCATTTATGATCCAATGCAGCGAAAGTTATGAAAATTCGAGGAAGTTTTTCAAACGAGAGAATTCTCTATATTTGGTGATAAGACGGTTCAATGTACTGGAAAAAGCCATAGAATCTAGTATACCGCTGCTGTTTCCATGGTACCATTGGAAATGATCGACTGGATATGGCACCAGGACCTCCACGAAAGGTGAGTAGGAGTCAGCCGAATGTCGTTGACCATCAGGCAGAGGTGTTAAATGCAAATGGTTCCCCACTTCAAGGACAACAACCATCAAAATATTCTAATGAATCTTCAGCCCATTACCCATACAGATGAGATTAGGAGACCGTCATCGTCAGCAGAGACAGCCATAAAATGATGTTCGAATAGGACTGTGAGATGGTAGGCTACGAAGTTTCTGGGACTGGCGCGGGGCCGTAAGTAGGCTGGTATCCAAAGGAAGCAAACAGGAACGAGGAACTCAGCGGGGTGCGGCTAGAAGAAAGTGTGCAACTAGTGGCCTCGCTCCCACGAGGGTGGTAAGTGTACCTGAAGCCGTAGCGTTCGTTATTTCGTTCACAAACACACTGTGGGCTGCTCGTATCTGCCTTAACGGGGGTCTCCTTAAGATATAGGGGCAAGACAGTTCGCTGCTGAGCAATAACTTCACAGTGAGGTTAGTTCAAGTGCAATAGTAAGCAAACCACACGAAAAAGATTAAGTATATCTCGCGGCGTACATCTTTCATTCGGAGGAATGCCTTCCTGCTAGTCACCACCACATATCGACTGCTGGATCAAAGTCTACAGACATTAAAGTACTGACAATTCTGTAAAGAGAAACTGATGCGAGGATGGAGAATTCGTCGAGAACAGGCTTACAGGGTAAACCCGCGGGATTTGAGGGGGAATCCATGTAACAAGTCACATCAAATAGTCCTTGAAGATTGTTAGCCTTAGTGGACAGGAGATCCCAGTTCTACTCGGGGGAAAATATGTTCATTGGTGCAGATGGTGTTTCATAAAAGAATCGGGATACACGAACTGTCGAAACGTCTTTTGCATAGACTTATCCCTTAGAACGAATTTTGGATGATCAACAGAAAAAATTGAGCCTCCCTCCAGAGACCTGACGAGTGGATGAAGGTGGACATGACGCATTGCAAGGCCACATGCCGTGTGCTCCGCTCATTTTTAATGTTCGTCCACTTTAGTGGATACATTTTTCGAGAAAAGCGGATGAACTGGGGAAACTGTTGATTTAGTAACTTCGAACATTCTGACCCAACCCCGCAAGAAACAAAACGGACGAGAGCGAAATTAGCCCTGCCTACGCAGAACAGAATGGAACTAAGTGTCGAAATGCTGGCATATCTGCAGCAAGTTAGCGGTTTTCTACTCAAAATAAACTGAGCGGAACTGAGACGGCTTCAGGTGTTCGACAATCGTTGTCTCAGAACCATAGCTCGTGTGGGTTGGTGTCGGCGGATCCGTAACGAGGCAGTTAGAAAGCGTGTTTTCGATTGTGTAACGGGTACTTCCATTGAAGAATGTGTCCAGCACCAGAAACTGCGTTGGTTGGGACATGTTTTACGCATGCCAAACCACCGTTTGCCGAAGAGAGTACTGTTTTCCATGCCCAATTCGGAGTGGCGTAAACGGAGAGGTGGCCAACTCTTCACTTGGCAGAGGGATATGAAGGAGATCACGAGACGCTTGGGTGCTGTCGGTACTACTCGCCTTCCAGGATGGGGACCGCGTAATCCCCACTGTACCTTGGTGGAGACACTACAAGATATGGCTGCCAACCGATGTCAGTGGCGTTCTTGTTGTCAGTTTCTATCCAGATTGCCTGAGTGAATGTCTGGAGGTGTAGACACCTCGGAATGTTTGTGGTAAGCTAGCACCATCCACCTTTACTCTTTCCTTTACAAGGCTTTCAAATAAATCATGGCTGTACAGCAGTGAAACATCGGTGTTGAACACTGATGTCATGCTGTCGATGATGATGAAAAACAAAGTGACCATCCGTTTTTAAGTAAGGCTTTTGATGAGTAGCTTTATTCGTATTCTTCCTTAGAATGTTCGTTATGCTTCCCACGATGCAACTTACGTCTTGTTCTCTTGATCTTTGTATTTTTTCGTATCAGCCCGTCTCCAGTAAACATTGATTGTTGAGACATTGTCTCTACAGCCACTGGATGACTGCAGACACTACCACTCCACTGAACCAAACCCGTGGTTCCTATCGTCCCATCAACTCTGTTCCCTGTTGTCTGCCTCACCATACTGATGTTATTATCAGTGTTATGAGACTGTAATCCATTGGTTGGCAGCAAATTCAAGTCGAACTAAGATCCATATAGCACTAGCTCAATGGTCCTTCACCACGTGCATTACCATGGATGTGAACGGAGGACTTTATAAACCCAACATGCTGTTTCAAGCCTATTACAGTGATACGGTCACGGCATCTAGCCCAGAGCACCCGAGAGAATACCAGGGGAAAATTTACGGCTGGTTGTCCGCGCCAAATGTCTAGGTTAAACGGCAATAACTGCTTAATCAGATCCGTTATTCGAATGCCCCTACTCCCTGTAGGATCATCCATCGGAAAAGTGTTATTCGGTGGCTTCAAAAAAGTCTGGAAATGATAGATACAGTTATCTGTTTTGTGAAACACAACCATAAAGTCGGGCCGCGAAAAACAACAGCGTCTTGCAACCATACGTTGGAGGAGTGGTCGGACAAAGCAAACTGCATTAGACAAGTCACATACCAGATTACCTTGGGGGTGGTGGTTTGAGGATAATAATGGCTGGAAAGCACTAAACGAACGTCACCCTCATTGGAAAGAGGGGTAGTCCTTATTGTACTGACCACAAAGTTTGGTTATCTGCGTTGTGATTTCATTCCAATTAAGGCGGCTTGTTGCCCTGAGGTCCGGTGGACTAGCGGGAATCGACGAAGCTCCTGTAACCTACGAAATCGCCAAAACAACTTAGCCGGTATAGCCTTAATGGAACCCAAAAAATGAAGTACATTCTGAAGCTGAACTCCAAAAATAATTCCAAAAATTTGACATAAAGTGTTCTAGATTCACTTCACTGAAGGACACCAGCAAAAATGCAGTTTTGTGTAGTTGTCATGGAAAACCAAAGAATCTTCACAACAACATTAGGAATGACTTGAGTTACGAGTCAGTCATGAAAGACAGGCGGAAAATGTAATCATAAGTCGCTGCCATCCACGGTTGTTTTTGATATGGTATGCAGAGGATGCTAAAAAGAACGGAGAAAGTGCATTTAGGACCATCCAACTGAAAAAAAGGAGAGATTATTTCAGATGATACCGACAATTCAAATCGTATACGATGGAACTCTAGTATGATGAGCGATTTCACCAATCTCCCCGAATTGCTAGAAATGATATTTACCCATGATTTAGACAGCAGTAGTTTGAGTCTCCATATGACAGGTAAAGCTACCGCTCTCATCATATCAAGTACCCATTGCAAACAACAAAAGATGAATATATCTTCATGGCGTGTTAAAATACTCTCATCAACGGTGAACATTCGCTGAAGCGCCGTTTGGCCGTCCCTTGCACAATAAAGCATCGCTCTGAGGGGGGTCCTTCCAAAAGTGTACAATTCCCATCCGGAACAGAGGTTAAAAGCCGCTTTCCTGGGATGTTTTCTTTACTGTACCAACCGAAACCTAAGTAGTGACTGGTGAGTCGGTTAGAGGCGCACACAATATAAACTGGTAATAGTTATCTGCTTGCAAAAAAATGCGACTGAAGTAACGCAAGAAGTCTCAAGTGCACCTGAAAACCGGACTGATGCTGAACTTTCCAGAAAGGCGCATACCAGCAAAAAATCGATGAGCAAGTATGCTTAGAGTGAAAAACTGACCAGTTTACGGTCTCCGAAAAAGTGTATCGTATCAATATTTTCTGCAGGGTATCACAATTCACATCTCAGTGACTATCCAAACTGGTATCGAAGCTAGTTGAAATCACGTTCACATAACAGTCGTCCATCTGTTCTGGCGCAATTATTCTGATGTCTACAAATCTCACAAGCACCGACAACTAACAAAAAAATGTCCAGCAGGTTCCAAAGCGTCCGTGGCGCTATCTGACTGGGAAGTCCTGACAGAAAGGCCAATCGATCAGGACAATTTACTACGCAGCAGTTCGACGCACAGGGCAAAGCAATCATACCGCTCAAGCGTGAACACGTTACGTGTTTAGACATAAAATACGTCCAGCGTACGCTGGTGGACTATGGTAGCACGCTCTTCTAGCATGTCAGATAACCGGAGTTTAAAGACCAGCACGGCCAAGGATACAGAATGCTGAGTAGAATTACCATATAGTTTCCAAAGAAAACCATTTCACATCGGACCTACACTGCGGGGTTGCACTGCCGGTAGATGGGTTAAAAATATGACAAAAAGTTTCCGTAACCAGAAAGATTACCAAAATAAACTTGTTCCCCTGCACCAAGGCAGGTTACCGATAAATGTTCGTTTTCAGTCTGCAAGGTCTCTAGTTATATGAAACAACATAGAATTACTTCAAAACATAGTTCTTAACCGACAAACTTGGTAAGCTCGAAGAAGCTGGCTGAAGTGAAGCATCCACTCGACTTAAGCAAAATTGTTATTCTACGGAGATGAAGTCAACAAGAAGCAGAGGCTAGTATAGTCCCCAGGTAAACACAGAGAAATCGCCAAACAAAAGCTATTAAAACTGTCTCAAACACTTTATAAAATATCGCAACTTGAAAGCCGTTAATCCCGTAATAGAGACTGATGCGGCTGGGTTGTATCAAACCGACAATCATTTGTGATCTACATAAGGAAAATCTTCCGTGTCTTGTCGCAAGGTTAATATATCTGTACCAAAGGTTTGCAGCAAACGCTTAAGATTCCACCGAGGCGATTCGCATCAAGAAAAAGCTGAAGACACTCACCTGGAAGTTTAAATAACAGAGGTAGGTATTCCACAGACATGTAAAAACTGCGATATACGTTACACGATAGCGCGTTGGGAGGAATCCGAAATTGATAGCCTGCAAAAGGGGCCATAACATCATGTCCGCGATATATGCTGGCCAGAACAGATGTTTCACACGCTGAAGGCCTCCGTCCAGTGTCCCGGTGTCTCGAACTCCGTTGTCTGTAGATGAGAAATAAAACAGAAAACAGGAATGTTTAAGGCTGAAATCAGGCCACATGAAAAACGTAGCTAAGCAACAGAGCATGTGCAAGGGTGACTACAAAACCGCAGTCGTGCATCACTATCATCCTTGCCACGGAAGAGTGGATAACTAATCACTTTAAACAGAAAATAGGTTTTGGGACGGCGTCAGGTATCATAAACCAGCCCACTAGGGGGTTCGTATTACTGCGCACCCGTGGGTATAAGTTGGGTTGTTAGCATTGACACTTCAACCAAACTAACTTTATGGTTTTGCAGTGCCTCCTATATTATTAGTCATTGGCTTTCCAGATAATTTATTCATGCAATACTGTGAAAAAAGCTACCACGAGGATGACCACCAAAATTAGATTCATAAAACGATAAAACGTCTAATCACGCGAATTTACCGTAGTACAACTGTAGTTGAGAGCCGAAGGAACAAATTAAATATATTACACGACCGAGACTTGTCGAATTCACGAAAAGATCGATCGCATTCTGAGCAGTAGCGCTAGACATTCAGGGGACTTCGGCAGATTTCGCGGGTCTCTCAAAACGACATATGCACCAATGAGGGCTGAGGTTTGTCAATCAGTACAGTATATGTGATAGTAAAGGAGAACCGAAAATATGTTGGCACACAGTGATCCCTAAAATATCAAATAAGCACTTTATGGAGGAGCTTCTGAGCCAATCCGCGTCGTACAACATAATATCTCAATTTTTATTAGGAGCCCGTAGATGTACCAACTCAACCAAGCTTCAGGTGACGACTGAAATCTATCAAAAAACCTATTCACCACACAGCTGAGAGGAATTTAGGGAGTTATTTCGAACGAATTTTACCGGTTCATCCGTAAATGAATCTATACTTTCAGCGATGTGCAACTTGGTGTTAAAACAGGAGGTGAGGTTGATGAAAACTCGGAGACAAAGCACACTTATAGGCTCAAGGTGATGCGGATAGCACGCCAAGACTTCAGCAACCTTTTCAGTAGTGTTGGGTCAGCAAAAATACCATTGAATGTCGTTTGAACTTAAACATGGAGGATCTTTTGCGCACATACGGGGAATACGGCCGATATTATGTTGGGTTTCGCCTTAAAAAATAAACTTAGAAATGAGCGAATAACTCTACTTGCCGACAAGCAGGAAGTACGTTTGACGAAATCCCAGTGGCTACGTCTAATCAATGGTCCCTAGCAAGGACGATGCGTTACTGGACTGTAGACGAGGTCTTGGCAACTTTGCAAGTTGTTTTGAGTCGATAAGAATACAGTAGAATTATTCCACAGGTCAAATCAAGATTGTTACCAAATAGTTTTGTCGGCAGACTGACCACTGTATATTAATATTTTATTCATTTATTTAGTTGTTTTTTCACGGATGGATTACGTGACGAACAACTTATCTTAAAATTTCATCTGAATCGCTAATAACCAGGTCTTCGTATGATGTATCAAAACAATCCAGGCGAATCCACATTCAAAACCATATAACTGACTTCTTCGGCGTTGTGTATACACTTGAGGCAACCACTTTGCACAGCTTGCCTGATTGTCATTGGGGTAAGGTTGAGGTTTCCAGCAGAAAACGAATACGCACAAAACTGATGGCGTAAATGCTTACAAACAGAATATACTGACGTACAGTGGTACGGAAAAGAGGTCACACAAACATAGGGAGGGGATGCGATCATTGAGTAACACAAAATATAACAATAAAGAATTGTGACTTACAGAGGAAAAAGCCGATGAGGCACGTTGGAGCCATTGTGAGCTCATCCAGAATGAGTTTCTTTGAAACTGTCATCAAGGAAGCCCCAGGCAATTTCTTGTCAATAAAACAGTAGAAGAAGTGCATGAGACAGCCTTGAAACGCTCCATAGAGGCCTAGACTACCTAGATGAAAAAGAAGAGACAGAAACATAATTCAATTTGAACAGGCAAAGCTGAAATTCAGTTTGGCAACACAAAGGATAGAGTAGCCTGGACTTGGAGTCTAGTGGTATCGAGAAACAACAACTGTTTCCAGGTTTAACGGATAAATCTGCTGGTGATCAGCTCTTCGAAAGTAAGCACAACACGCGCTACCAACGAGAAATGCTGCTGGCAGCCTCGGACTGTCTTCCAACAAGCACACTTGGAACTTCGACAGTTTGACAAGGATAAATGCACATTGTGATTCCAACCAGGATTAGGCGGAATCGGAGTTTCCCTACATGGGTCTCCNGCTGCAAAAAGCAGAAAAATATGGTTATGCTAATCGTACAAGCGGCCTTAAGTTGCAAGGAAACAACAGACCGTGTAACGTTATGCTTGACAATCAACTAGCGAATGTCACTATGTTACGGAATTGGATTCAAACCAAATGAGGAACAAAATCAGTCCACTACATCATATCCTATCATTCCATCTTCGTATCCTATCACAAGCCCGAGGACTTGTAGAAATCGATTCTTTGCAATGTGCTTTCATTTGTTACTCTTGTTCTCAAACCAATGTTTGTGAAACAGGTGCGTCGGCGTATGTTTAAGATGGCTGGTAGACAGTTAACGCCGAACAAGCAGCCCAAAGAAGCTGACAAAGAATGATTATGTATAGAGACAACACGATAGAATATACTACGCAGAAAGTCACTGTAGTGCTGAGGACATGAGGATATACTGTCAGCTCATCAGTACCTGCATTCTAAACGGGCGCGACACTCCCAGGTTACCGTAGGATCTAACAGCCGAAATAACTTATCATATGGTTGGCTAAGACTCAGTTTCTGCGATTACCTCTCATAAGAAGGTCAGCAGTAAAATTTCAGAACCAGGTAACTAAGGCGATAAGGCTAAAATGCGGGACGGTACCTTCCATTTTACCGTGACGGTGTGTGCGGTTGTGGCTTGCAATAGTTTCACAAGCTGTTGATGTTGAACACCAAAATAGTTTATATAACACACTAGGATATCTAACTAGCACCAGCGAACATTAACTATAAAGACGGGCATCATCTATCGGACTTCGGGAATCTAAGCTTAAGTCAAGATTAGCCGACTTACAAACTTTTCTCGCATCGATTTCTGTTCTGGACAGAAATCCTTTTAACCACGACTCATTCTTCTGCTCGGGGGTCCGCATGACTGGCATCAGAGCTGTTTCTTGCACCAAAATAGTCCCATGATGTGGTTTCGACATATGATGTCTGATCTCCTCGGCAAGGATTTCTCCGACAACCATCATGGCACCGGCGACTATGGCGTCTTTGAGTAGCGGATTGTACTTTCGACCTCGGGTAAGGAGGGGCAGACGTGTGATCCACTGGAAAGGGCTGTTATTTGCCCACGCTCTCATTACATCATAGATTAATTACAATACAGCTCCTTGCCTCTTACTTGTCCTCTTCGCCGTGCTGAAAACAGAAAACAGTATCCTCAAAAGACTGAAGAAACTGAGAGTCCTGCTGTATACCAAGGACGTTCCGCTGTTGGTGGTGACACGCGATAAACGTAGTGTATAGTTTGATATTACGTTCATGGAGCTCATTGGAACTAATACAACTTCCAATATATGTAAAACGCTCCACAATCTGGAGTGCCTCTCCATGGACTGCAAGTCGCCTGTTCGGTGGCTGCATATCCAGTAGCATGAACTTACACTATGTGGGTGCAAAGTGTATACCAAAGGACTTTGGTCTGTTCATCCAAAAACACTTGCACATTTTTTTTTCGGAGACTAGAACGATGTCGTCTGCAAATTCACGTCAGAGGCTATGTGAAGACCAGGGTTTTGGATTAGAAAATAGGAAGAATAGAGTGGGCACCTCTGACAGACACAATTTTGTCTCCGGAAGCTTCTGGAGAGTTCTCTGTATACTCTCACATGCCAGGAAGTTTGAAAATACGAGAAACTTATTGTGTCCGCAAACTTCCGGGACATGCCTTGATGGACAAGTATGTTAGGGATAACGAACCCGCCAGCTGGGTCGGATACATCTAGGTGTCCTGACCATGTAAAACATACTTTTCATAGCCATTAACGGGTCATTCTCACTCCATATTTTCGACTCATGTACAATCATTATTAGATGATTAAGGCACACATTACATTCTTCTATTTCGTCTTCCTTCTAATCTCGACCTGGAACCACTCGATCCTCGCGACAATCTAGTCGTCTGATAAAGAAATGGAACATATTCCCTTACCTACGACTTTCGATGCTGATCTTCATACACCAGATGTCATAACAATGGACTCATTGGTTTCATACCTTCAAAGCCTACATTAATTCGATCATGCCTGAAGGTTCAAATGAACTAGAAACTCTCATAGGTCACACTGACCATACAGTATGACTGCATTGCAGAATTTACGGGCTGCGGTTCTGCAATAAAATTGTCGGAGAAACTTTACATTCGTCGAAAGAATGTCGTGTATGCACGTCACCTCTTAGCTATCTAAAAACAAGAACCGGGTCAAGATGTTGACCGATTCGTCCGAAAACCGAAGTTGTTTGCTAAAGACTGAATTCAACGCAGTATCTGCCGTGGAACATACGAAACGAAGCAACCCGAGATACCTCGATAATGGGACTACAGTCGAGCATCATTCGGAAGAAACACCCAATATGGCATGAATTAGACCTTGATGAAGCTCACAAAGCCACACAGGCTCTCGATCATACACAAAAATAATGACGGACAATCTGTTACTTGTTCTGTGTTTACCCCTTCGTCCTGCCACCACCGAAAATACGGTTTCTACCGCTACTATTAAAGAATCTGTTGTTGGAAAATAGGACATTTTCAACGCGTCTGTAGATCCAAAACCCCGAAGTATCACGCAGGTGTAGCTAAAGATCTAACAATTCATTGTTCTGAGGCCTTACTCCCGATTGCCTACATAAACTAAAGCAGATATTTTGGTCAACGGCGTTGCGTTCCAAGCTCTTATTGATACTGGCAGCTCCAGAAGTTCCATTCTCCATCAACCCTACACCCTTATAACTGGAAACTAGATGAAAAATAATAGCCATTCAGCTGTAGGACTTTTTTGGTGTCTAGCTAACATGCCACCAGAAGAAAGCACGAGGGTTGGGATACTACCAATCGTTGACAATGGAAGTCAGCAGGCAAAGGTCGGGTTCGAACCACGGACCTTCCGGTCAGTAACCACTGAGCCATCTTGCCCTCATTCCTGTGCAGACGTTGCCAGACGAACTGCACACGGGCAAATATCAACGGGTATCCAGTCAAGCGATGATACATCCACCCGGTGACTTAGGACGATTCCAGTCACCGAAGATCTTGCCACCAGAGGTGTGCCGCCCGAAGCGGGTGGAGAGTGATGGGGCTGTTGAACCAACCAGTGCTTTTATTTTGAATTCTTGTTTTTGAGACAAGCAGGTCCAGTGTGAAAGTAAGAGCAGCTTGTGGTCCTGCTTGCTTCGGAGTGCGGATAATAAAGGCAACCATATAAGCTGGGTGTCGAGGTTTGATGGTTAATTTCGAGATGCCTGAGGATGTCGACGCCGGATGACGTGCAGATGTTGCTCGCAAAGCCGATGCAGGACGGACGGACCAGGAGACTGTTTATTAGAACTCTAACCATTGACCAACTTGGTATGAGACTTCGTGAGTGTCGCACGGACAGCCCTCAGTATAACACAAAGGGTCGTGGAGATGTCAGTAAGGTCTAGTCTCTTCACCAATTTCTAAGCGGGAGTGACTTTCACGTGAGTTGCCCCTGGAAAATCGCTATACAAGCCGCGTTTATTTACGTCGGAAAAATAAGGCCTAATCTGGCTCATATGTTCGCGCGTCACGTGATTAAATGCAGCCCCATTACGCCAGATATAAGGGAGAACGGTCCTGGTTTGTAAAGAAACAATGCAGGAACTCAATGTGGGGATGGCTATTTAACTGCACTGCTCGCAAAAAAGAAGCAATTCAGGAACTCAACGTGGGGATGGCTATTTAACTGCACTGCTCGCCGCTAGTCAAGCCACAATTTTCCATATCACTTTTCGAACACGCGAGTACTGAAAGGTGGAGGACTTTGAAACACCCGTCACCATCATCATCGACAGCATGACATCAGTGCTCAACACCGATGCTTCACTGCCGTACAACCATGACTTATTTGAAAGCCTTATTGTAAAGAAAAGAATAAAGGTGGACGGGGAAGGGACTTAGTGCTAGCTTAACACAATCATTCCGAGGTGCCTACACCTCCAGACATTCACTCAGGCAATCTGGATAGAAACTGACAACAAGAACGCCACTGACATCGGTTGGCAGCCATATCTTGTAGTGTCTCCAACCAGGCACAGTGAGGATCACGCGGTCCCCATCCTGGAAGGCGAGTAGCACCGACAACACCCAAGCGTTTCGTGATCTCCTTCATACTCCTCTGCCA